GATACCACCGAATAGAGAAAAAAATACTCATTTTTTGATCAAATGCACAATAAAATCTTTGTAGGGAGTAATTGTTCATACTTATTTAAAAAAAATCATTTACATTAGCACTTACGGCCGAAAAAAAATATAAACGTAAATATCTTGGTTTTAGCCCTTCAAAAATTTAGTTAAAAAGTCGTCTTTTTTAAATATAACACTCATTTAACAAAAAACGAAGGCCTAAATGAACAAAAAACATTCCTTATAAAATTTTTGCTTATGTGTTGACAAGGTAACAGAGTAAACACCATATTTTTTGCTTTTGAATTAACAAAGATATAACAATAAACGATGAGAGATGTCATAGGTTTATGCTGTTATTAATTCTCACCGCCAAATTTATCGACTCTCAGTGTATCTTTCTCTTCACCTTCAAACGTAGCAAAGCTCTGTTTCTCTCTACGTGCCGGCTGATGTATCACATTATTGATATGGTAGGATTTTTCATTTTTTTTTATTATAAAACTTCTCGTTATGTTCCATTGGGCAATGTGTCATATTGTTATCTGTTTTTACTAAAGAATTAATAAGTGTATGTGTTATATATTAAATTACCTAATAAATTGGGAAAAAATATAGACATTTTTGCATCTTTATTTTATCTACATTCATCCTGTTGCAGCTGAATATATTTGGGTAAGTTATAAGTTTTCGTTTAAAATTTTAATTACGGATTTGTTGCTGCAAGTAGCAAAGACAAAAATTATATCAAAATAGGAAAGCCCAAAAGTTGCATATCATTTAAACATATATTTGTAAACATTATTTTTAGAAATAAATTTAATGTTCAAATGATAGATGTGGTATTTGATCATTATAAAGGACATTCTATCAAAAATACAACACGTCAAAAGAGAGGATTTCAGAAATCAATTGATATAGAAATTGACCGACCCAATATTTCACTTCCGCAATAATAGAACTTGTTTATTCATTCGATATTTAACAAAAGACGTTTAACACATTTTTTGCTAGAGCAACTTCTTCAAAACTCGCGAAAATCAATAAATATGAAAAGAATTTTGAACCATCAAAAGACGATTTTTTAAATTGAAATCACGAAGACACTAATAATCGTATCTTATTGCACATCCAAAAATTCGGGGCATTCACGCTGCATTATTTATTGTAACGATACAGATGTCTTATTAATTTATTTTAAGAAGTTTTTGACTAAAGATTTATGGTTCAGAACAGGGCGAGGAGACTCAAGACGATTTCTAGCAGTACATTATTTAAATTTGGATGAAAACCTTCAAAAAAATGTGCCTGCTTTTCATTCTCTGACCGGTTGTAATACAACCAGCTAATTGTCCGGCATTGGGAAAAGAACCTGTTGGAAAACCTACCTTGAACACCATTACTTTTTGGATGGATTTGGCATTGATCAGTACTCTGAAAACATATTCTCTAATCTTGAAAGAATTTTCATAAAAATTTATTCAAAACTGCCAATGTTACTTCCATTAACATTTTGAAGGGATTATTGGCCTCTTCAAAAACCATCGCTAAATTGCCACCGACTGAAGATGCCCTAAGACTACATTGTTTAAGATGTAAATTTGCAAATGCAGAAAAAAAATATTTGCTGTATCGGTTCCTGCACCTGTATGGCACAGCCGCTAATGTTTTGGAAAATGTTGATTCGTGTGGTGAATCTGATTCTCTGATTAGTTTGAAAGTCGTGTAATTATAAATTTTAATATTATTAATTTATGCTTTATATACTTCCTTCCATTTATTATTATTATTATAATTTATTTATATTGGGGATTTATTGTATTTTGCAAAGCAATAGCCTTACTGTTTATAATTGATACTTCAATAAATACCTTCAATAAATAGTTTATATTTTCTTATTTTTCATTTTCCGCCAAAAATTAAAAAAAATCTTGAAATAATTAATACACCCTATTATTCATAGTGAATAAATCAATAATCCCTGTATAAAATATTATAAGAGAGTCAAACTGATTGCATTCATTTCAATACTGAGATAGATGCATAAAGAGTCGAGAGGCTCTGTCTTTAATGTTTGCTTTCTAGTAAAACCATGACATCACTAATTGTTTATTGCTATATTTTTGTTAATTTAAAAGCAAAAAATATGACGAAAGTACTTTTACCTTGTCAATACATAGGCGAAACTTTTATAAAGAATAGTTTTTTTTCATTTATGCCTTCGTTTTTCGTCAAATGAGAGGTATATTTCTAAAAGAACATTTTTTATACAAATTTGTAGACGATTGAAACCGAGATATTGACGTTTAATTTTTTTTTCGATCATAAGAGCTAATGTAAATGATTTTTTTAAATAATTATAAAAAAAATACTTCCTACAAAGACCTAATTGAGCATTAGAACAAAAAATAGGCATTTTTAACCAAATTAGATGTAATTTCATTAAATTAGATGTAATAATTTTCAACAAATTCCAAAACCTAATGATGTTAGATTGGAAGTGGCAACAGGGCTTACACCGGCATGGACATTTACGTTATGTAGTATAAGCTCGCGCAGTTATTCATTGATAAAACTACGTAAAATTCTTCACTCTATCCCTTCTCTTACTTCTCACCTTTCGTCGCCTCGTCCCGCGTCTAGAAATAGAATGTATACAGTACCAACTATTGATGGCACCATGAATATTATATTTTATGAATGACTGCTTATATCTCTGTTATCTCTGGTTATGTCTTAGACTTTCGCGTGGTCTTTCGTCAAATTTTCGACTTTAATGCGCAAACTCTAGTACAATTCCCATTGGAAAACACAATTTCCAATGCTCGTAAGCAGGGGAATATTTTCCCATACTTTTCATTGGAAAATATTCCACCGCTTATGTCGAGAATACGAAAACTGAATTCCCATGGGAAAATTTTATTTTCCCATGGGAATAAAAGTCGAGAATTGACCCCCAGGTTAAAAAAAAGGTAAAATAAAAAACATAACAGAAGAGGAACTGTAAACGATATAAATGTATTGGCATTAGTAAATGTAAATCCCGAATATTCAACAAAGTACATTGCAACACAATGCGGGATATCGAAAGCGGGCATCAAAAAAATATTAAAAAAATTTAAATATCACGATTACAAATACCACACAGTACAAAAATTACACAGAGAAGATCCTGTCCGTAGGTTAACTTTCTGTAACTGGTTTCGACAAAAATTTAATAATAATATTCCATGGACAGATGAAACTACATTTACAAATTGTGGAAATATTTAACAGATAAAATAAGCACTACTACTCAAACACCAACCCTCATTTAACACGGCAGGTACGGCCTCAGGTACGATTTTCATTAAACTTATGGTGTGGCATAATTGGCGACGTTCTTATTGGACCCAAGTTTATAAAAGGAAATTTAAATGCTCAAAATTATATCAATTTATTAGAAGAAATATTAGACGAAATGCCATTACTGCTTCGAAGAAAATGTGGTTTATGCAAGATAATTGTGGAGTCCATAATGCCAACAGCGTAAGAAATTATTTAAATCAGAAATTTGGAAGGAAATGGATTGGAACTACAAAAGAATTATTATATTTGGGATAAAAAATTTAGTGTACTATATGAATCTGAAAATATCATTGAATTACGAGAAAAAGGTAATCAAGCATTCAACGAAATTAATCCACACATGATTACCAGGGCAGCGAAACACATATGAAAAAGAACACGACTTTGTGCTGAAAATAATGGTGGCCATTTTGAGGAATTTTTGTAAATTTGTTTGTTTGTATAAATATTATTAGGATCACTCTAGAATATTTGTTTTATTTGTTACTCGCCTAAATAGTGATTGACCAGTCTACAATAACATTCTTTGGACAGATAAAACTACCTTGATGAACTACGGTATGTTAAATAGAAAAAAATTACTCCTCATTAACCGCCAGCCCTCTTTAACTTAACAGGTATGGCTGAGGTACGATTGCTATTAAATTTCTGGTAAAGGAAGCAAATGTAACGAAACGGCGATTAATTTAAAAATAATTTTAGAAGTGTAGTTTTAGCAGTAATCTAAGTAAAAAATCAAATAATATATCAACAACTTTATTCCCATGTAAAAAATAGCATAACTATATGGCAACATGGATTTATTAACAAGAAATCGGAAAATACGAACCTACCACTACAATTTACAAACGAAATTTACAGAGTGTTTGAAAACAGAAACCAATTGGATGTAATTTTCGCAGATTTCGCAGTCATTTTGGGATAAATCACAAAATATTTAAAACTTATTTACAAAATAGAAAATTCTTTGTTACACAATTCTAATTTATGTGATGTGAATTCCGGAGTTCCTCAGGGCTCAAATCTCGGTCATCTTCTCTTTGTGATTTTTATTAATGATTTACCAAATGTTCTAAAAGAGTCGGCTTGTGTACTATTTGCTGATGATCTTAAAATATACAACGAAGTTATAACAGTTATGGACTGTGTGGGATTACAAAGGGACATAGACAGAATAGTACGGTGAAGTTTAGTGAATAAATTGCCTTTCAATACAAAAAAATGTAACGTAATAACCTTTACTCATTAAAGAAATTTGATATTATTTGAATATATTATGCAAACAGAAAGTCTTGAAAGAAATTATGAAATAAAAGATTTAGGGGAAATTAAGGGGTCACATATTCATCCTGTACGACCCTGGAAATAGCTAACAAACAGTTTTCCTACAATTAAGCGTGTTTTAGAATAAGTATAATTATTTCGAGTTTGATGGAAAACTAATAATAAATATAAAAGTTAGGACGGTAATACATTTTTAATATAAAATATAAGTAAAATGTGTGTCTAGCAATATTGTCACGGCTTTTTGAAATACTCTGTATTGTGTTGGAAGCACGTAGGGGGTAACATTCCACAAGAACTTTTACATACTTTATTCAGTGTTATTTGAACCAATCCTAGAAATAGTTCTTGAAAATTTTGCATACCTGGTATACTGCAACATTTCCTTGGGAATATCCTGAGTTTGGAGGTGGTGTTGAACATAGTGGAACACCATCCGATCGTTTTCCTTGCATTGCCAAGTTTACTTGCGGTGGTACTGGTTGATTTCTGGCAATATGTCGATAAGCCATTATCTGATTTCTAAAAATATAATTCTTTTTTTTTACATAAAGTAAATTGACCTAATAATAATTTGTATATAGCGATTCTGAATATATTTGAGGTTAAAAATCGTTTGATAACCCACACTTTTGTTTTAAATTAGTCCAAAAAAAAATCAGCAAATCGTACTCCTACTGCAAGACTATCGTAACTCAAAAACTGAATTCCTTAATGTTTTTCCGTGTTCAGTATAAGAACCGGTTTTGAACTAAAATGGATATGTATTTCGATAATAAAAGAAGATAGAAAATACTGAACAAGGTGGCCTAATCAAATAATTAGTAGGCTTTAGAGATTCAAGAACATTTTTTTTTCAATGAATGAAAACTACAAGTTTCTATAACGTCTTTTAAATCCTTAAATGGTACTTTTGATAGATAAACTGAGGTAGGGTTTAGATCATAATTTGTATGTTTTGGCAGTTCCACTGGTTTTTCACAGAAGTATAATAATATTGTTGGAAATACATCCAACATATTTTATTTAAAACATCAAGCTAGCCCAGACTTGAGTGCTAAACCAATCAATTAATTAATAATTAACTGTTCAATAGTAATTAATCCATCTAATCACTAATAATAAGTTAATTATTTATTTATTCCAGAAACAGGCATGAGCCTAATTACATATTCCTATAAATACAGCGAAAATAGAAATCAACAAAAATACATAATATCTAATTAAATATATAAGTGAAATTATAATAAACAAACCTCGCTACTACAAAATTTTAACAAAGTTCATTAAAGAACAAAACTACTGAAATACAAGGTTATGTCTCTTTAATCGAGCCCAACAATTTTGTTAAGTTCCTTTCTATATGTGCTTATAGCTACATCAAAAATACCGCAAGAAATGCCTTCGGAGTGTACATTAAACAAAAGACAAATTTTTTCTACTGGACCATGATTATCCGCACGAAAAGTTAATTGACGTGGACGAATACCTGCTATTGGAACATTAATTTTTATTTGACTCAATAAATATTGACTTTTCAAATATCCATTTAATAATTTATGTAAAAAGACAAGGTTGATTATAGAGCGTCTATGTTCCAATTTTTCAATTTCAAACTCTTTTCTAATAGGTCCAAATGAAACAAATCCTGGACTTGTATGATACTTTTTAAAGTATAAATATTTGACAAATTTATTTTGAATAGTTTCCAAAATGTGTTTTAAATTTTGTTGTGTAGGGTCCCATACAGTGGATGCATATTCTAATTTACTACGAACGAGAGCAAAAAATACATTTTTAATCGAGTGGGTGTCTGTAAAGTCCCTAGTCGTGCGTTTCAAAAAACCTAACAATTTGTTAGCTTCTTTGGTAATCTTATGGATATGCTCGTCAAATTTGAAATTATTTTGAAAAACTATTCCCAAGTCGGTATTCCCAAGTGTTGATCCTTGCATTGTGTAGATAAAATTTTGAGGATTACGAATGTTACTGAATGTAATAACCTTGCATTTGGAAAGATTAAAATGTAATTTATTTTCAAATGACCAATCCGAAATTGAGTCTAAGTCATTTTGAAGGTCTAGATATTCATCTAGGGTGGATATTTTCTTAAAAACTTTCAGATCATCTGCATACATTAGGCAGTCTGATGTAATTCGTAGAGGAAGGTCATTAACAAATATTAAGAAAAGTAGAGGGCCCAAATTGGAGCCCTGAGGGACCCCAGAGCCTGCGAGGATTGTATGAGATACTTCACCACCAAACATTACGTATTGATACCTTAGTTTTAGATAAGACATAAAGAAATTTATTAGATGATCGCTAAGACCATAATATTTCAGTTTGGCTAGAAGAATATTGTGATTTACCTTATCGAAGGCTTTCTTAAAATCAGTATAAATACAATCTACTTGCTCACGAGAATTGACACATTTTGATATTTTATCACTGAAAGTTAATAAATTTGTATCTACAGATTTTTTACGACAAAATCCGTGTTGTTCGGTTGATATGTATTTTTGAAAGTAAGCATACAGTTTATCATATATTACAAATTCAAACAGTTTCGCCTTACAATTTAATATGGCTATGGGACGATAATTATCTTTTATTTTTATCCCCTTTTTTAAAAATTGGTGTTAATCTCGTTCTTTTAAATTCACTAGGAAATATGGATGTTTTAAGCGACTTATTAAAAATTACCAGTAAAGGGTATATTAAATAATATTTACAAGCTTTTAGAATATAACAAGGAATATTATCAGGACCTGCTGTCTTTTTCGGTTTTAACTTTCGAAATGCCGCTTCTAAGTCTTTGACGGATATTAGATCGAAGTCAATATTCTGATAAAAATTTACGTTCCAATTGTTAGTCAAATCATTAATATCTATAAGGTTATAGTTTGAATCGTTGTCATACACTGAACTGAAACAATCAGCGAACTCCCCTGCTATAATTTTTTTGTCAGATATTTCCCTATTATTTATAATAAAATTCGATTCAGATATATTATTAGACCTCTTATCTTTAATGAACTTCCAAAAAAGCATGGGGTCCTGGTTAACACAGTTCTGCATATTTTGGATATACTTACTGTGCGCCGTCCTTATTTTCAATTTTAGGTCCGCCCTAATTTTTTTATATCTACTAAAATAATATTCCGATAGATGTTTTCTTTTTCTGAAAAATTCTTTGTACTTTATGTCGATTTTTATTTCATCCGTGAACCATGGCGGAAACTGTTTGCAATATGCATGTGGCCTATTAGTAAACTTTGGTACACATATGTCAAGCATTTCATAAAAAACCTGATAAAAATATTTGACAGAATCATCAACCTTTTCAATGTGTCCAATTTTGGACCAATTAAAATCCCTTAGTAGTTCGCATAGTAATCTAAAATCAGCTTTTGTAAAATTATATCTGCTTTGAAGATTATTATTTGTGTATGTGAGTTGATTACTTTTTTTACTTCCGTCTTAATTATCAGAGAGGGATGTTTATTATCTATGGGAACTAAAGGTTCTTTATTCTCCTTTATATTCAAATTCAAATTACCAAGCACCAGATCTAGAGTTTTTTGATCCTCATTGAGACAATTGTTGAAAGACTGTAGACTGTAAGTGGCCATTAATAGAGACATTGTTACTATTATATCATTTTTATTAGAAAATTGAAAAGATGTGCCATTTATGCATGGTATATTGTAATCGCCAATAAGTACAATGTGTGTGGTTTGAGTGATTAACGGATCTAAATTATTAATCCAAATATAAAAAATAATAATAACTAACTCTCGGACTCTAATTAGATTATGCCAATATTATGTCGAACCAAATTGTAAAATATTGAAGAAATTTAGATGCAACAAAAATAGCTGACTATTATCAAGGTATATTACCCTTGATAATTCGCTAAAGACATTTTTAACTCTCAAAAATAAAATCAATAACTTAATTTGCGATTAATTGAGCTCATTTTTAAAGAATATTAGTAGATGGGATTAGCCAGTTCTGGACCAAGGTCAGAGGCAAGGTCAGAGGCAATTGGTGTAATTAGTAATTACCCTAAGTACCCACCCCCACCCTTCGAGCAAGTACCCCCCACCCTTCGAGCAAGTACCCCCCACCCTTCGAGCAATTAGCAAGTACCCCCCCACCCTTCGCGCAATTAGCAAGTACCCCCCACCCTTCGCGCAATTAGCAAGTACCTCTGAATTACTCTGTACACCATGTTATTGCATAGTGTAATGAGTGTAATTGCATAGTGTAATGAGTATAGTAAGTACCTCTCAGTACACATAGTGATGTAAGGACCAACCAATTATTCTGTACTGAGTGTAATTGCATAGTGTAATGAGCATAGTAAGTACCTCTCATTACACCATATGCATACCTCTCAGACAGTATTTATTGTGTATATTGTAGTGTACTGCCTCTGTTTTTATTACGTTACCATGTGATTTTTAGTTTTAGACAGATATAAAAAAATATAACTTGTCAACAAAAAATATATTTGTCACAGAAAAAGCAAAACCTTTTATTCACATTCATACTCCGATATAACATACCAGGTTAACTACATGACTCCGACAAATTGGTGACCCCGAACGTTTTCCCATTTTTACAAAATTCTGTAAGAATTTAAAGAATTTTGCTAGCCGATCAATACGAGTTCCTGTAAATGACCCCATCTTCTATCCATGGTTCAACACATATTGTCCTGACTTCAAGATATATCCTGTACCAATTCTAACAAGATAAATAATTTAAGTATTTTAGTAGCAGTAGATAAGTACCTAATATTAGATATTCAATTCAATATCGTTAAAACCATTTTTATTTAAATTTAACTAATTTATATAATGTCACAAACTGAAGATATTTCAGGGAACGGTGATTCTGTCAATGTTGAACGCACACTTTCCTCTTTAAAATTACCACCCTTTTGGACCCCAAATCCAGAAATTTGGTTTACACAAGTTGAATCACAATTTGCTTTATCAAGGATAACTTCAGACAAAACTAAATACAATTACATTATTTCTAATTTACCTTTTAATATTATTTCAACCATTTACGATGTCATAACTAATCCACCGCAAGAAAATTTCTATAAAATTTTGAAAGAAGCCATTATCTCTCGTTTAACTTTAAGCGAGGAAAAACGTTTAGACGAACTCCTATCAAATTCCGAGCTAGGTGATAGAAAACCATCAGAATTTTATAGAGAAATGCTAGGTATGGTTGGAGACTCTCAAATGGTCAGCCAAGATTTGTTGATAAAACTTTGGAAGCGACGCTTACCAAAAACAATTTTAGTTGCTATTACAGCTTCTGGTAAAGATACTCTCTATGATATTCTCGACTTAGCGGACAAGATTTGGGAGACCTATAAGCCGGTGAATATTAGTTCAATACATGATTTTCCACCGTTTACATTCAACAATTCAGGGTCTCAGGTCAAACCAGATAGTTCATTAGATTCCATTACTGAACTGACCAAAGCATTTAGTGAGTTT